GGAGTTGGGGTTAGTGTGTTTCCTCCGCAGAATCGAATTTCTTAAATTACGGATTACTTAGGATTACTGCCTATTTACAATAAATATCTCTAATCTGATTACGGATTATTTTTCGGATTACAAAAAAATTGCCTTGTACTTAGCAACTCCGCACAAATAATCGCCGCAGCGAACATAAATACATATGTACATAACCCAGTATGTACAAGAGAATAAAAAAACGATACTTATTTATGTAATTTTAGTTCGTCAGTAACCTTGACTGTCTGGAATTTAAGCTCTAATTCTTCATGTTTCAGGTAGATAGTTTCATGTTCAGCCAGGTCAGCCCGCAAATGTAAATAGATAACAACAATGTTGACAACATATGTGGTAACATAATTTTTCTGAACTGCGCCCAGAAGCTAACCAGTCGTGAAAAGTATGCTAAGTCGGAGATTACGTAAACCTGTTACATATTTACATATGTAGGATTACTGTTGAATTTTTATAGCTGACACCTCATTTGCATATTTTGATGCATTCGCGAGAGAGTTTATTCAACATGGAAAGCCCATAATGGGCATAGTGAGATTTATGCAAATGAGGTGACAGGCCTAAGTAAGAGGATAGTACGTCCTCCCGCCCAGTGGACGAAACCGTGAGGAGGAGACATTTACATTGACGGATTGGGGAGGGAGGGGCTTATATAACACGGACAAATAATGGGGACATCAAACAACGGTAGGGACATTGTCCTCCTGTCCCCGCGTTTCAGCTACCATTGGTCCCATCTCGAGCAGGATGAAGCATTATCAAAATACACTCATGTTATTGTCAAAACCAACAACAAAGAGTTCCAAACGATCCGCGATTGCATATTAAGCCGAATCATATAAGGTGTCCCAATGGCTATTAAGTAGGTAGGTAGGTAGGTAGGTAAATTTATTAGTGCTCGATTGATGTGGCCACGGCCTTTACAATCTTATACAGAGAAGTTTCATAAATTGGTAATGGCTATTAAGTATGCCGTTCGGCTTAATATGTAACCGCGGATCGTTCGGAACTCTTGTCGCAAATGCAACAGTACTTTATGCACATATTTCACATGCTTTAACAGGATTTTTATTTTACATTCTAAGCATGCATACATATTCATGTATGTACATAGTCGGAAACACTCAAGTGTCAATGACATATAGCTTTATTACTTTTGCAAATCTCAACTTAGCAATTTTTGATTTATTTTACCGAAAAGCCAGATAAATTTCAATTCAAAGACAATTTTTAGTCTTAAAAATTTCCTCCTCCTGCGTGAATGCCACGCTAAAGACGAGACGATCACTCCTCGATGGAATTACGCACCGATTCCAGGGACATTTTGTGGCATTCCGGGGTCAGAAATTTTTTCCAAGCCTCCGCACTTCTACGGGGCTTAGAACACACCTTTGCCCCTAACTTTGACCATTTTTCATATTCCGGTGGTTCAAATCCATCAAGGATGATCACCAATTCTGATTGGAGATAAAGACCGGAATTTGTTTTTTTAGCTACGCTTGGGTCATTTTTTGCACTATAAGTTCGTGCTGAGTCCTGCTGAGAGGTCCCATCGATTCCATTGAATTGGATCTAACTTAGGGGATGTACCACGGACTCAAAAACATATTTTAAGGAAATTGATTCCCCCACCTCCCCCCAATTTTCAGCAAAATGTAGAGAAATTACCCCAATTAGCTCCCACCTGCCAAAATCATCAAAAAACCTGGATAATGTGACTTTCTGACCTTTTATCTATATCGGGGGATGTCTCTGACCGGTTTTGCGTAGATTAGGACAATTCGCTTGTTAAAAGATTTTTCCGATGTTAAAATCTCCTCATTTTTAAAAAGAATCCTGCTCACTTTTCTGGAGCGTACCGCTTGAGGTGACTCCTGCATTTATTTAATCTGGTTTTCCTTTGGGGTACGATCAGGATGTGGCAAGTACCACATTTCAAAGCCTTAAGCCTAAGCTTCAATTTGAGCACTCATTGGATAATTTGCGTCGACACTGTCAGCAGTGAGCCCGGTTTCCGTTGGAATTTCATGAATTTCTTCGGATTCCAGGCTTGAGAGGCTTCACGATGGGTGTGGTCCTTGGAGGTTTTCAAAAAATTCTTCTTCGACTGTTCTTAGTCGATTCGGTCCCCATGAATGTTTTTATAGTCCGTTGGGCTAAATTAAATTACACCTTTGACTTTTTCAGCACATGTCAAATTCACTGTTTTTCTTCGATTTTTTTTGTGAAAAACTATCGCCGCCCGCTTCTCTTCAATTTCCTGTATATTCATCCAGATGTTCAAAAATTACAAAGTCCATAGTGAATCATAATGTAAATCGCATGGCGAATCTAATGCACTTATCAGATTTTAATTCTGTGGCTTAGTTTTCTAGCAATCGGCTGTTGACACTTGAGTGTTCCCGACTATGTAGATGTATATAGTCATGGCCTGCATCATGCATTTTAGCCGGAGCCAGTTTTCCAAACCATGTCAATCTGTGAGTACATATGTGACATGATAGTTATCGGTCGGGGTCGACTTGTCCATAACCTACAAAATCTGGTACATGGTTAAAAGTGGCTAACCTGGTGGTGGTGGTTGTGTTTCTATTCTTAATTGCCTTTGGTAACACGTATCATATTTTTGTAAATTATTTCATAGTAAAGAAAACATATAAAGAATGTATATCTTGGCTTATAGCCCGAACCAAGATAGATAAATTAGTAAACCGATACTTATCAGTATTATTCACAAATGTATGTGCTACTACCTTCTGTAACATTACTTAATTCTTGCCTTAATTAGCGTCAGCTTGCGGGTTAATTTTTGAACTGCAAAGCAAGAAATTCAAGGCACAAGAAATGTGCGCTATGTATCAACATATCTATGCAGCCACGCGCTATATATATGGCATATGTACTTCATATGCATATGAAGTAGAGCGGCGGGGCGTAGTTTCTTGCGCCGTGCATTTCTGGCAGGTCAAAATACATATATAGCTGCACGAAACAACTTTCTTACTGTTGTTTTTTGCGAGTGGTTGCTTACACCCGAAACTCTGGTCAATTATATATTACTAGGTCCTAAATTCTCAAAGTATTTATTGTTCCTTCCCCTTCACTCCATATTTACTTCCCATGTCCTGCCACTATAAAAGTTTCGAAATTCAACCCTCCTTAATTGGAACAATATGTAAGTTACTCTTCTATAACTAATTCAATTAATTAATTCATGTTATATTTTAACTGCATACTAAATATAAGCTGCATAGATCAACTTTTAGAATTCATTATGGGTCACTCCCTACATAGGTCTGTTCTTGTTCATATTTAACTTAAAAATATTTTAGCAGAAAGCACTATGATTTGAATTTTTAAATGACAGACTGCCCGCCATACATAGGCTTTACATGTAAAAAAAAGTATCTTATTAGAACATTAAAACTATACAGGGAAATTTCTGCTGCTAAATTGTTAACGGCCGGAGTACATATGCATATAACTCTACCGGCACGATAATAGCAGGGATTACCGTTTAGTAATGTTGTAATGTACAATTTACTACGCGGAAACCAACTACATATCCCGTACGAAATTATTTCTAAATCAATACCGTATATATTTCTAGTATAAATACATATGTATGTACATGTCCGTGACTCTTTAACAATGCAGAAAACTAAATTTCTTTCCTACACATGCACACTGCAATTTTACAAATATATAGCTATGTATGTACATATTTAAAAATAGCTCAAAAAGTATAAACTCATGCATATGTAGGAACGAAAATTTCGTACCTCTGATTTTACCCATCTCACAATTCCTTGATTTCTACAAATCTTTCCAGTGGCGTGATCTTAACCTACATATTTATTAACACAATTTAGAACACATTTGTTTTCACATTGCAATAAAATTTCATTCATAATAAAAGATCATCTAACCAGTAACGATGTATTACTGCGCATTACAAACATACATATAACCTGTAAGTACATATGAATTTCAATTTAATTCAATAGGTTGTGTTTACCTCTGCCATTCATTTTTCACCAAAAGTGAATATATCGCCCAATTACATAAATCCAATGTCAAATTTGCCAAGTGATACATATGCACGCCTTCCTCTCATCATTTCATGATTGGTGATGCAATGTAAGGAAAGATTTTGGGGTGTAATTATCCCAGGCTTGTATAGTTTCCATTATTTGTTATGCATGTATTTATCCAAAAGCTTCTCTCAAAGGATCGAATTAAAGTTAATTCTTGCGGTGGCGTGACCAGCGAAAAATAATGTGCAACTCACTTTAAAATAAGACGTCAGCATGGTTCACCTTCTTAAAGAATCAGGCCATATGTATATATGGACGCTGTTAATTTGAAATTAATTTCCCTTTGTGTAATTTGCAGGTATACGTAAACTAATAAAATATGCGACTTGTCTAAGACACGAATCGTAATCAATTTATTGAGAGCTTCCTTAAATACGTAATTAACAAAAATCTTGATATCCTCCACTCCCAACACCGCAGTTTCATAAATTCAGTGAAGTTATTAGTCCACTTTTAAGTAATAAAATAATATCAGTTGTGCTAATTTAAGGATTAGTTATCCGCATAAATTTATTATAAAAAGATGGGTGTTTATTAGTATGCAAATATTGAATCTTTTACTAAATCAGAAACATATTCACCCAATTAAATAAGTAACCAACCAAATTACGAAATTTGCCGATTTACATTACACCTGGAAATTCTCAGCATTAAAAAAATATAATTATATAAACACGGTAATCCCATAATTTACACAAAGTCATGGTTCATTGTCACAAGATTTTTTGCGACGCTGATCTATGAATACGTTCGGCATGCATGGTGCTGCGCATGCATGGGAAAAAAATCATGTGTATAAAAAATGGGTATATATGTACATATGTACCTATTCTCGTACTTACATAAATTAAGATACTCGTAAAAACAATAATATTGATCGTGAGTTTACTTTATTTTAATTAATTAGGTTTCCCACGTTTTATGAATTAGTAAATAAGTATAAAGATTCTTTAGCAAAGAACAATTTCCAGCATGAATGGATATGTGCAGATATATACTTAAATATGCGTAACGGGTAGTCCGTATGTACATATGCAAACATGTGCATATGTACATGTGTATGTACATACTTCTATATATTTACCTGCTTGGGTATCAATTAGTGTGCACCTTCTCACGCTAATATTTTATGTACGGTCTCGTTTCGCGATAAGATACTGAATTTCTGTCGTAATCGCAGTAAGTTCCAGACATGGAGAAGAAGAGGTTGATCAGTAATGGGGGTTCTCCAGGTCAAATTATATATATACATAAATACCTTATGATTTTTTGCATGGCGACTTGTGACTCAAAAACGTGTTTACCAATTTTTATAATTTTTTTGCAGTTATGGAGTCACCAAAACCAGTTAAATATTTACTGCGGACAAAAAATCTTGGATTTTTAGGCAACGTGGTGGTCGCAGTGCTCAATTTTTTCGGTTTCATACTGGATTTATTTTCATGGGGGGATTCAGCCCAGGCGGAGAGGAGACTTGCAGCCTCGAAAAGAATTAAGGTATAGTTTTCAATGGGAAATATTGTTTTTTATGGATTAATTTAAATTTGCTGTATTTACATATTTTGATGAAAATGAATCTGCAGTTTGTGAATATTGCAAAAATATGCATGTGGGAAGACATATGAAAACGTAGGAGATATGTACATGATGACGACTAACATTAAAAATCGACCATGTTTCTTGTGTGATGAATCAAAAATTGGTTAGCACATTTCTCGCAGGGTCTAAAACTGTGGCAATCACAGTGTGATTTAAGAGAGATTTGTGTCATTTTCACACCTTATGATTTTTTCACCAATTGTGAGTTCTGTGATTTGTGATATTATTGGGGGAAAGTGAAAAAAGCTGATTAAAATACAATCTAGGACAAAGCCAATTTGATATTTACCTATCTATAAATAATATATTTCCCTGATTGCATCATTTTGCTGGGAAAATTTGACTAGAATGCAAAACTTTTATGCAAAACTTCTAGTTTTCTTGAAAAAAAATCAAGGATTTTCCCACCGCATAGATTTGAACGTGTGTTATCAATATAATTTAAGCCAAAATAATTCTTAAAAACCGCAGGTTTCGTAAATATTCTGGAATTTTGAAAGTTCAAACGTACCAATTTTCAAGAAATGTTCAAAATTTTACATTTTGAACAAACCCTTGTTTTATGGCAAACAAGATAAAACTGAGGAAATAATGAAAGACTCATATCGTAAGAATATACTGCACACTCATGGCAAAATGGTACTGAATCATTACCGAACAGAGTACATACATGTATCACCTCACAGACAAGGTAATAAATGACAGGTATTACCGTAATGTATGTAATGAAGTACACCTTTGTGATAAGGAAAATTTACCACTCAGAAACAAATTATTACCAATTCGGGGGAAGTTATTCCCAAATCTATACCAACACGAAGTGCATATATGTACGACTTCACGACATTTTTAACAGCGTAACTTTAACTAATTTACATCTACTTGGGTGATTAAAATTTACTAAGCTATTTCCTCAGAGATACATACAGCGGTCTAAAAAAGTAAACCTTGTAAATATTTATTTATTACCAGGCTGACGTAGTTTCCAAAACCAAGGGTTCTATTACATTTCGTTCTAACCAAGAGAAACGGGCCATTCACAAAGAATTGGACAGTTTAAATATCGACACGATGCATAAGATTTTGTCCTTGGCGATAAGTAAAAACGGATCAAAACGCTGCTTAGGAACGAGGCAATTATTAAGCGAAGAAGAACATATTCAGGTATCCGAATATTTCTTAATACAAACAATTTTGGGAAATTTACAAACAAAAAATCTGAAAATTTTGACATTTCAGCCAGACGGAAAGTCGCTCAAAAAGCTAGAGCTCGGCTCATATAATTGGCACACTTACGCGGAAGTCGACCATATCGCGAAATCATTGTCCTTAGGCTTGACAAATTTCGGATTAGTGCCACACGGAAAAATTTGCATTTTTGCAGAAACAAGAGCAGAATGGCTTATCGCTGCTATAGCAGCGTTTAAAAATTCTTACCAAGGTGACAATATAGTCAGAATAATTACTGTTTACGCAATATTAATAGTCTGAAAAAAAATCTGTAAGATTTCCTGGCAGATTAGTTTATATTATTTTCCAAAAACCAAATAACCTTTTCGGAAATTTTCCAATACTATTACTTAATATTGGCTGAAAATTATGTAGCAATTTATAATTCATCGGCAAAAGAATTAAGGTGATTAACTAATTAAAAACAATCAATATATATTTCTCAGTTGTCACGTTGTACGCCACGTTGGGCGAGGAGGCGGTCATCCACGCCTTAAACGAGACGGAATGTCCCGTCGTGCTCACGTCGGAAGAGTTGCTGCCCAAATTTAGGACGATCTTGGAGCAGACGCCTCACATCAAGCATGTCATTTTCATGGAGCATCAAACCAAGGTGACGAACACTTTCGGTTACAATAGCCAAGTAGGAATCCATCCGTTCAAGAACGTCGTTGAAATGGGAACGCGACTTGTAATTAGTGGAACAAGTAAAGGTATTTATTTAATTACTGCATATTGTTGAACTACAGTAGAATTATTTCTGCGGGTCACCTCATTTGCATAAATACCACTATGCCTATTTCGGGTGATAGGGCGTCAAATTATGCAAATGAGGTGACTATGTAAATATGTATGTACATAGGTGCCAAAATTCTATATAACTGCAAAAATTGTACGTGCAATAGTTAGCCTATCAAGTTTTCATTTTATTGGCACATTTTTTAGAGCTCCGGCCCCCCGAACCGGATGACGTTGCTATCATCATGTACACTTCCGGCTCGACAGGGGCACCGAAGGGGGTGTTGCTCTCGCATAGAAATATCGCTTCTGCACTTTATGGAATTACGGATGCCTTAGGCGAACCAAGTGACGATGGTAAGCTAACATTACGTAAAATTGATTAACTTGAATATCAAGATTTCGAAAAGCACAAAATTTTCCTGACAAGATATGTATAATAAAATATGGATGATATTCATTACGAGGTCGCATCAAAAAATAATTTTGAAAAAATTGCGACCTACATAAATAATTAGGTACTGCAAAAGTTTGCAAATAAATTTGCAAGCCGGATTTTTTGGCCAACTTTTTTTTCTAACGATGCGAATGATACAGGATCAGAACTTGTAATGAATCTGTTCTAATATTGCACAGTAAAAATCTCTGGGGGACGGAGAAATACAAACTTTGGCCTCTTTTAACATGCTTGAGCTTTGGAAATTTTCCGGCCCACGGAGATTTTTACTCTGCAATACTCCCATAGCTTTGCTCCATTTCAAATTTCGCGCCACTGTTCCCTCGACAAGAATAATGTATATACTAATTTTTGTATCCAGATTGCTATGTCGCCTACCTCCCACTTGCCCACGTGCTCGAGTTGATCTCTGAGTCAATCTGTTTCTTCAACGGTGTTCCAATCGGCTACTCTTCTCCGCTCACACTAACGGACAAATCGCCCAAAATCAAAGCCGGTGGTACCGGCGACGCCGGAATTCTCCAGCCTAGCATCATGGTTGCCGTGCCGTTCGCGTTGGACCGGATTTACAAAATGATTTTGGATCAGGTCAACGAGGGGAGTGCAATTAAACAGGCCGTGTTCTACTGGGCGTACGATTACAAGTTGAGGTGGTACTATAAGGGATACTCCTGTCCAAAAGTGGACTCCGTAATTATGCAGAAAACCCGACAAATTTTGGGGGGACGGGTGAAAATTATGGTTTGTGGAGGTAAATCATTGCATATTTTGCCGTATTCATCTATGTAGAATTTATAATGAAGCAATTCATGCAGTCATTGGTAACTCGTAAAATTTGTACGTTTTGTAAAATGATCTTACATACTTTTACAAAATGAAGACGCGCCCCCGATCTGAAAAAGTTTACCAAAATTTGTAAGCTAATTTTCCTCAGAAATATTTGTAAAATTTTATAAAAGTTTCTAAGTTTAAAGAATGCATGTAGGAATTTTATAATGTTACCAAAAACTTTGTGAATTGCCCCAAGTTCAGAAGCGTCTATTTATAACTGGTAAAAACCAATGAAAAAATTCCAAAAGTTTCCTAACTGTCATGGTTTTTTTCTAGGGGCACCGTTATCTCGTGAAACGCAAGAATTTATCAAAAATTGTCTCTGCATTCCATTCCTTGGTCAAGGATATGGACTAACGGAAACTTGCGCTGGGGGTGCCTGTTCAACAGGTGGGGATTAAAATAAGTACTACTGTGCCGCCAATATTTATAGTCACAAATAAATCTAAGGTTTCCTGGCAGATAGCAACCGAATAATAATATCAACCAGATAACATCTCAGAATATTTTGCAAAGAATTGAGACTATTAATATTGGCTGAATTTTTTGCACACATTTTGTACGGAAACAATGAATCCGAATTTGATGTACGCAGTCGAGGACATGTCCGTGGGCCGGATTGGTCCTCCATTTCGGTGCTGTGATGTCCGCCTGATCGACTGGGATGAGGGGAATTACTCCGTCGAGGACCAGCCCTTCCCCAGGGGGGAAATCTGCATCGGGGGAAATAATGTGGCGTTGGGGTATCTCAACCAGGATGTTGCCACCCGGGAAGATTTTTTCGAGCAGGACGGCACGAAATGGTTCCGAACCGGAGATATCGGGCAGGTCGAGTGGGACGGGAGTTTCCGCATAATTGGTGACTTATTTAAAAAATATTTTCGTAATTCGGAAAAAAAATATTGATTTCCGATTTCGTTTTCAGACAGGAAAAAGGACTTGGTAAAATTACAAATGGGCGAATACCTAAGTCTCGGGAAGATTGAGTCAATCCTAAAAACGTGCCAGTACATTGATAATGTTTGCCTTGTTGGAGATTCGTCGAAAAACGTGTGCGTCGCGTTGATAGTTCCGAACGAAAAACAGGTACAATTTTACTTAACCTCTTGTGTACTACTGATTTCTTACGAAATTTCTCTCGAGTATTTACGACGTCGAATTCGTAATTACATGTGATAGCAGCCAATTAAAATTTCATAATTTCTTATAAAAAACGAATATTTATTTCAATAAGTTGTCAAGTTTTGAGTTTTTTGACGAAATACACTTAAAAAACTCCTCTTTTTAACATTGGTCGGTATAGGGAAAATTCAAAAATTTGAAACGAAAAATATCAACTTTTGTACCCATCGGGTTTTCTACAAAATATCAAAGAAATACTCTTAAATATGTATGTACTTTTTGGAAATTTTGACGTCAATCTAATTTATGCAGTACACAAATTTGTGGATTTCATCCTTAAGAGGTCAACGAGTCACTTGCTTAAATAAAAAGAACGAATTCAATTTTTTAAACTTTAGATGATGGACGCTGCCTTACGCCTCGACAAATCCAACATTACTTGGGAGCAGATGTGTTGCGACGGGCAAATTGAAGCTTTCTACCTGCAAGAAATTCAAAATTTTTGCAAAATCGCGAAACTCCACCGGTTCGAAGTTCCTGCCGCGATTAAAATTTGTTCGGAAATATGGACCCCTGACACCGGAATGGTCACGACTACGTTTAAACTGAGGAGACGAACGGTGGTAGAGAGATATAAAGCGGAAATTAATCTTATGTATGCACGACTGAAATAAATTAATGTTTTAGTGTGAAATTTAATATTGTAGAATACATAAATGCGAGATTTTGTTGGCATGGAAATGAATAAATTTCTTGTTGCAAGTGTTACCACATCTTAGAAATCCAGTATTAAAATGTTACCAAGCGGTATTCATATACCAAACTGGTATTAATACATATGTATGTACATATGTAAGTAATACGCTATATGTAGTACTAGTAATAAATAGTAATGGTAACAGTATGTGAAAGTTTTACCATATGGATAGTAAATTTTTACGGTCTTGGTATAATTTTACCCATCGGTAGCAACTTTAATACCGAGAATTATATAATGTCTGCGTCACTATACGAATTTCTAACGGTGTCTGTACATCATATTCTGAGGAGTAGGAAAGGACCAGTATTTTCAGAAACATGTGAAAGTTAATGTTTCGATATTCCAGTTTGTGTAATTTTGTGAGGGTTTTATACAGAGTGCACTTCCCTTTAAAAGATTTTCAAAATTTAACGGCTAGACTATAGCACAACTTTTTAAATCTCGTGACACAAGGGCTCTGCAATTTTTCAAATTTTAGTCCTTGCAGACTAAACTACTGACCGTAGACATAGTAAAGTTTTTCCAACCCAGAATATAGGAATTTTCCATATCGCTTATCGAATTTTGAACTTATACATATGTATGTGTACTTTCCAGAAACTTAAGATTTGAAATTATATATGTACATACATATTTGCGTAGTTATATAAGTTATACCTTAACAAAACCGAGCGCGTCAGGAGGCGTTTCCCTGAATAAAATTTCATTGTACGTATTTAGATACACAAACTTGTCAGATATTTCCAGACTAAAGAGTGGCTGACATTTAAAAAAATGATGGATAAGTGACAAGACAATCCCTTCACGTGCTCGTTTATCAGGGTTACATAAACACTGTAACACCTTGATATGTAATACATATATGTATGTATGTATGTACAGTGCATGTGTATGTAAATATGTGCATACCTCGTATAACATGCACACACCAAACAATCAAACATTCATAAAATTTACAAAAAACCCGACTTCTTAAAACTATTGGAAATTTAGACCTGTTATCAGTACAACTTCCCCGTCGGAGAAAATACCGAAAAACGACTGCACTAGTTATCTACATGTTTTTGGTGGAAGAATGCATGTAAAAGCCATCCTTGATGAAACCGGACTTTTCAAAATGATAGGAAATTTTATTTTAAGCCATTATCAGCACAACTTCCCACCCGTGCAGAAATTCCAAAGTACATACGTGGACCAATTATGCATGCTTATCATGGTCCACCGAAGAGTATAAAAGCGAAGCATTTTCCATGACAAATTATCAATCCCACACAGCCCATCCAATTCCAATCATCTTATCCAAACATGAAATCTGCAACAATCTTCCTCCTCCTCGGCGTCGTCGCCGCCCTGGCTTCTGGTGAGTATTTATGGCACATAATCAAATTTCGAAAAAATTTAAAAAAAATTTAATTTCAGCCATGCCCAAATTGGACCCCGCCATTTTCCAAGTGGCCGACCCTCGCCTGATCATCGGGGGCGTGGAAGCCACGAGGCACGAATTTCCCTTCATGATCGACCTGCGAATTGATGGGCAGCATAATTGCGGGGGGTCGATAGTGTCCCCAGATTGGGTCGTTACTGCGGCTCACTGCTCAACCTTTTTAGCCAATCGGTACACCCTTGTCGCAGGGGAGCACAACCTGACCCTCAACGAGGGGACGGAACAGAGTCGTAGGGTCGCGGCCATCGTGAGACATCCAGGTTACAACAGGTAAAAGAAGTAAATTTATGCTAAATAAAACCAGAGATCAATGCCGCCGGTACTAGTTTTTTAGCTGTACAATTATCTACATAAATACGTACTGATTGATGCTATTTTTAGACCGACCCCTTTAAACAACGATATCGCCCTGATGCGAGTCGATCGTCCCTTCGAATTCAACGAGTTTGTCGGCCCCGTTGTCATCCCAGATCTTGACTTTGTCCCAACTGGTAAGTAAAAAAGTATAAAAGACGCCAAAAATATTGGTCAAAACTGGTTTTTCCCTGGTAATATCCAGCCTTGGCCACCGCGGCGGGATGGGGCATGCTCGATTACCCGATCGGTGACCTTTCCGATGTCCTCATGAAGGTTGAAGTCCCCTTCGTGGAGCAAGAGACCTGCCGAATCGCCAACATTGACGTTAACCCCGTCACAGACACCATGGTCTGCTATGGGGTTGTAGGAAAGGATTCGTGCAAAGCTGGTGAGTCAAGGGGTCACTTTTTTGAACAGTGACCGTGGAAGGCGTGAAGGCATTAATATTGTGGAATATATTATATAACACGGGATGTATCATGGGGCCATCCAACACCGCTGAGAGCATTTGTCCCCACGTTTCCGCAGCTCAGCTACATATTTTTTAACGAAAAATATTAAATTGTGCCCGCATTTTGTAATTAATTTACCAGATTCCGGCGGTCCATTGATGTGCGGATCGGACAATGCGCTGTGTGGGATCGTTTCTTGGGGCGAGGGGTGTGCCCTGGACGGGTACCCCGGAGTGTAAGGAGAAAAATTATTAAATTTTTTTCACATTTTAAAGATTTTTTTAAAATTTTGCAGTTACGCGAAGACATCATACTTTGCTGAATGGATCAGGTCAACCATCGCTGCTTAAATTGAGTGTCCTTCAATGAATGACATTCATATTGATATTCTTGGAAGAAACAAATTTATGGAAATAATTATGTTTACATATGCAAAATTCAAAAAAATAATTAATGACTCTGTAACGCCCTAGATTGAGTATTATTTATTAAAATTGTGTCTGATTATTCTGAAATTTAACATTTTCGATCTGAAAGTTCATCTATCTAAATGTAAACTTCAATTCAATTCGAGTTCCAACGTCATATTAAAGTTGGAAACTAAATTTTTTAATCGACAATTTCGAAATTGGGGAAATGCTCTACCCATATTAAACACGGCTTGTTAGTTCAAGTTAACTTAGATTTACATAATTACATACGTAACAAAAACCAAAAACGAGACATTGTGGTTATCAATAATAACTACGAAAGATTGTAAAGTAGCAAACAAAAGTAACAACAATGACATATTTACTTGTAATTGGTACCTCGTCTTACAAATTGTTCGAAATCCCTCACCAGTCATTAAGACTTAAATTGGTGATACTAACTGACAAATTATTTTCCCGAATAAATTCACGAAAGGCTTCCAAAGGTTTGTCGTCGATCTATGCAAATATATATGTACTTAAATTCCCATAGTACAAAATTACACATTAATTTACATATACAAAATTTACCGGGAATCCTTCAATAGCCACATTTCGAATCGTATTGCATGCCAAGATTGCTGCTCTCATAGCGTCCAAAATTCTAAACTTTTCCCTAACATTACACCCATAAAATCGAAGTGACGTGTTCTTCAAACCTACAAAGGTAAATTTATTATAGTAGAATTTACTTTTTAAAATTGTGAATTTTATATTCGTACCTTTCCACTCTGTCATTCCTTCCAACACGGCAATTATGAATTTCTCATTCAAATCCTTCCTGACACGTTTAATGCGAATTTCCACCTTCCCACTCGTCAACGCCCAGTCACTCAAGGATCGCATTATTTCCTTCAGATTGAGAAAATCTTCTGGGCCATACCAATCTGACCATGAGCCAATCCCCAACTTGAGCTTAAACTCCTTCACGCCAGGGAAGAGGGTGACCAATTTGCCAGCAGTTTGTCCATCCACATTGACAAATTCTGCGTAATGCGTGCAACCAACCTCTAGCGACGTTATCCCAGTGTGTCGCAGGTGGTAGGTTTCAACCATTTTAGAAATGCCCCACATCTGGCAAGAATCGATGGAGAAATGCGTCAGTTTCGGAAGGTCGGTGGTGTTCAAAGAGTCTTCAATTTTCCACACGTCGACAGCATCGAGGCAGAAGTGGGTAAGATTGGGGAAGTTCAAATTCACCTAAGAAATTACAATTAATGAAAATTACTGAAATACAAGTACCTACATAGATAACATACACGGTAATAATATAATAATAATAATAATTTATTCTGAAATTCGTACAAGGCTCGTCGATAATCGTCGATAATCGGGTTATTTAATCCCATTTTTTGTAGCCGTTTCTCCACTTCCGCGATCTGAGTCTCAGTCCCAGTTTCAGGAAAACCATAAAAAACAATGGATTTCTCCCGTTTTAGATTTTCAATTGCTGCAAAAGCTTTTTGCGAATTAATGTCGCATTTTCCTTCGATTTTATTCAGTCGATCCACTAATTCCGTGTGGTTCAGAGTTGGGACTTTTGATCAGCTCCTCACCCTCCCCTCCCCTCACCAATTCCTCAAATTTTAAGTCCTCACCCTCCCCTCCCCTCACCCATTCCTCAAATTTTAAGTCCTCATCCTCCCCTCCCCTCACCCATTCCTCAAATTTTAAGTCCTCATCCTCCCCTCCCCTCAGCCATTCCTCAAATTTGTAGTCCTCCTCCTCTCCTCCCCTCACCAACTCCTCAAATTTTTAGTCCTCACCCTCCCCTCCCTTTACCAGTTCCTCAAATTTCTACTCCTCACAGGGTCGTGAGATGACAAAACCGTTGATTTTTGAAATCCCCGCTCAAATCTACGTCTAAAACGGTCGAGACGAAAAATTCAACAATTTTCGACTTTGGCGACATCTACACGGTCATAGTATCGTCGCACGTCGAAATGATGGCGATTTTTGAAATCCCGTCTAAAAATAAGTCTAAAACGGTCAAAATAAAAAATTCGACATCTTAGACCGTTTATGTCATCACCGTAGCGCCGTGACTTTATGACCTACGACGCACACCTTCGAACTCATCCGTACTTCAAAATTAGAAACACGTCGCGAAAACCGCATAGCGAAATTTGAATCCGTTCTAAAGTTATCGTGGATAAAGGCAGACAGATAGACGGACAGTCACAGAGCGGATAGTAGTATATATCTATCTGTGTCTTACTCCCTCCTTTTACTCGAAGAGGAGTAAAGAGGACGAGGAGTAAATTACTCCTCGTCCTCTTATCCCCCATATATGAGAGATCTTGTATTTCTCTTCCATGCTTATCCCCTCATCGACTCCTCAAATTTCTACTCCTCGTCCTCCCCTCTCCTCACTAATTCCTCAAATTTTTAGTCCTCCCCTCCTCTCCCCTCATTTTGGAGCAAAAACACTAGCTACTCCCTCTCTTTACTCCTCCCCCTCACTCAAAAATGAGGACGAGGGGCAAAAATCCCATCACTGGTGTGGTTTGTCAAAACTTCCTTGTGCTGTGCGTCCATTTTCTCCATAATTTTGTTAACGTCCATGATGAGGTCGTCTTCTAAATTAGTTCTCTTTTTGGATCCCTGCTCCTCAGGGGAATTGGATTGCTGCCGTCGCCTTTTATCCTGCTTTTTATTTCCCCCACCTCCCCACAGATGCATTCGTGCGTGTACTCAATCCGCACCTACTGTTAATAAGCCGGCCGATTCTGAGTAATCACTACACGATTAACCCAACTAAGTATTCGCAGAGCGAAGATGAGACAACCTCCTCTGACCACTGCTAAACTCGGACCCCACATACACGGTACTCATCACATGATACATATTTGTGCAAAGATGTCACCTTCATAGGCATCTCATCCAGAAGAGGATCATAATCCAACGTCAACTTTTCCAAAGAATCTCTACAATTTTCCAGCACTCTTCCCATTTCGCAGATCTCGACGTGCACATTTTCTAAATCATGACTTTTATAATATTCAAACTTCAACCCCTTCAGTTTTCGACATGGTGTCAAGTCCGGGTAGAAATTCGTTCTGGCATTGAATTCCTCCAAGTTGGGGGCGGCGTTGAGCAGCCCTTGACAAAGGGAGGAGAAGACGGCACGAGAAAAGTATTGGTCAAGGTTTGACCAGATTATTAACGAGAAGACTTTCAGATTTTGGAGCGTTCGAAATTGCGGAATTTCCAGTGGTTTTTTGATATATTCATAGATATCCACTTGACCCTCGATACTTGCCATGATCGAAATCCGGGTCAGGCTTGGGAATTGATAAGTACTCCACATTTCCTCCAGGGGAGGATTAAACGTACCCACTGCGTCGAAGGTGACTGTGTCCAACTTATCGCAAATTTCAGGCAAAAGTATTACAAAGTTGGGTGGCAGATCTCGATTGCATTCAAGTTCAGCACATTTACATCCCCCCCAGCACTTACAGTACATGTCGAGTGTTATGTTCTTGGCGAGTTTGTGGTTAAATGAGGTCAACTCTTTACCATTATGGCTGGGCGATGTTGAAAAGGTGAGGCGACCCTTTTTTCCGAGAACCCTGGCGCCCACGTCGGCCCAATGGGTGCACACGAGTCGAACAGACTTTAAAGTCTTCAAGTCCAAGTGGGAGAACACTTGCTCCAAAATCTAAAATAAAATTGTGACAAGATTTTATAGTTACGCAGTTTTTGCTACAAATAATAAGTTGAATTGGTTTAAAAAACAAGTAAAACGCCAAGGGTGGATAAGTCAAGGTATTAATTAATTAAATTACGTGTGGTATCATTAACACATAGACGTTGTTGTCGACAAGGTCAACATTATCCATTTGGTCAATCTCGGCCTGCATGGTGATGTCCTGTGAAATATATAAATTACAAATTGTCAATAATTAATGAAAGAAATAAAGTAAAACATGCAAAAATGTTTAAAAATGAGATTTTAGACATAAATTCATATTCATGCCTGCTTATGTTTTCGTTGTGACTAGATTTGGATCCGTTTTTTTTGCTTTCAATAATCAGTAAATTGATAGAATTAAGGCTGTAATTAATTCCGAACTGAAAAGGCTGTATGTTGTCTGTGCGACGTAAATTAACAGTTGCAAACGAAATGCAGATAACCAGCAAATTGATGAAAATTATTAATTGGAGTTAACTCCAAACTAAAATTTTTAATTATTGTTGTTCACTGTTCACGTCATCTGCAAGTAAATATGTAAACCTTATGAAAATGAACATACCCAAATATGTAGGTATACATATGTATAGGTTGCTTCACCCAAGCTCACGACAGAGCGGGGAAACTTGATTCTACTGTATGTATATGAATTTACCTAAAGACTCGATTTCACTAATGCATAAACAAGGTCCCAAAAAATGGGAAATCTTAGTGAGGCAGTGCAATCTAAACTAAGAAATAAAATTAGATTGCAGAATTTTTAAATCACCGCTCTCAGAAATATATCCCCTAAATAATGGGATGTAAATATTTCTAAAATATAATGGTCCATTATATTTGATCTTCGTTAATTTAGCACACTTCTCTTTCACTAGTAAAAGGTCATTAAATTCTCAAATTAAGACTGGATTATCATGCTTATGCAAAGCAAAATTTGCAATGCATGCAGTGAAAATGATATTGAGAGCGGTGATTCAAAAATTCTGGAATCTAATTTTATTTCTTAGTTGAGATTGCACTGCCTCACTAAGATTTCCCATTTTTGGGACCTTGTTTATTTATAACTTGTGATTCAGTTGTCAACGACGCAGCACCGCCATAATAGTTTAGTAATTTTACTAAATTTTTAGTTTTCAAAATTGAATAGCGTGGTGATTTCTTAACCGATTTTGGTCAACTTGGTCTTACTTAAAATGATCAGAAGGAATCAGCGTAACGTTTTCCAATAATGTAGAATACTGTGATGCTCCAAAATTGAACCGTGGATAAAATGTGACTCCGAGTGCAAATTTTTGTTCCTTTTCGCCCATAATCTTAGTAAAAGTCAAGATTTCTCTTAGTTTTCAGATTCCCTAACAATGATCTGTGCAAAATTTAATGAAAAGCAGTTCAAACATGGCTGAGATATAGAATTATTTCACATTTTTGGGGTGGGGTAAATGCATACTTAGTAAATTTTTTTCGTTGTTAGGGAATCTGAAAACGATTTCTGGTCCGACTAAGAGAAATCTTGACTTTTACTAAGGTTATGGGCGAAAAAGAACAAAAATTTGCACTGGCCGGTAAAAAATATGTATTTTAAATAATAACCAAGACGTAGCAATTTTAATATCGCGAAATCTATACCTTCTTCACTATACAAGATTCTTACGGTGTGTGTACATACATACGTAATATCATATTACGTTTGTATGTATTTTAAACTTTTTCAATAATAACCCGATCGGGTTGAAACTTTGGGATATTGTTCCTGGTCAGGCATAGGTCACACGGTCAAAAAAATGTTTTCACATATTTTACATATTTCCAGGTTTTGGTACATATAAATATGTTTTAACATATTTCGACGATTTGGCCGAAAATGTGCATTTTTTGATACACATAAATATGTTTTTACATATTTCGGCGATTTTTTCAAAAATATATATTATTTTTAGTACACATAAATATGTTTTTACATATTTCAGCGATTTTTTCGAAAACTATATATTCTTTTAGAGAATTCCCATAAATTCAAAATTCATAAAAAATTCCGATTATCGTAGAAATAATACCAGAGCATGTTGAAATGTTTTTAGTTTGTCACTGTGAAATGTAAAAGCATTTTTTGGCATTTCTGCAGTCAAATAAGCTAATTTTGGGGCAATTTAAAGCGAATTAAAAATATGTTTTATATACATATTTTGGCGATTTGATTGAACATTTTACATAAATATTTCAATGCTGATTAGGTTTTATATCTTTAGGAACACGTAACATATTTCCTACCCAATACTTATTTATTGCATATCTTTTGTATTCGTGATATTGTTCGCGTGTGTACATATTAATTGTTACAAATTTATGATTCTGTTCATTATATAAATTTAATCAACCTTATGCATATATAGCTTTTAAATACATACATATGGAATATTCATAGAAGTAGTAGCCACAATATGTAAGTGAGGTAAGGTTACACGAATTTGTAAACTAAGTAGTTTTGTTTAGAAATATGTAT